CCTCCTCCCCCACAGAGGAGCCCATCACACGGCGAGGGAGGCGGCGGGCTCGCGGAGACACCTCGACGGCTCGCAGAAGCCGGGAACCCGATCCGTGAAGAAAAGGCGCCCAGGCACCCAGCGGCCGCGCCGAACCCAACTCCCGCGCCCAAGTCACTGCTTTTGCTGCCGGCCGCCTTCCAGGCCGCCCCTTCTCCGCTCCACCTCCCGAGCAGGAAAGTTCTTCCAAGAGTTTCGCCGAGCCCCCGCCCTCTCTCCCACCCAATCTGGAGGTGCTTTGAGAGCGCCCGCGCGGCGCGGACGCCCTGCGGCCTGCCAGACGTGTAGAAACGGGACGGACGGGGCTGGTCCGCCGCAGGTGTGAATTCCACTTCTGACGACACTTTCTCCGCGGCGCAGGTTTCTTTTACGGCCCGCCAAAAGCGCTGCATCCTGGAAAGGGACGGCTTGGCGGGGTAGTCAAGGGTGACGACGGTAATTGGCTAGGCGCCAGGTGAATGGTTTGCCCCGTGTCGAATTGAGCCTTTGCTAAAACCAACCCAGTGTGGCGTAGCAGGGAAACAGGCAGCTGCCTTTCGGCGCCTCGGACGGTCTCTCCGCGGCCCGTGATTTCCTTGATCCATTAGGCTGCAAGCCTAAACGCGCCCCTTAGAGAAAGATGTTCCACTGGACGCAGTTTTCTTCTAAATAAGCGTGCGGAACCTTGCATTGTTAGTTGAAGGCGTCAGGGTGTAAATGGGGAACCTAGGGATTCAGCTACCACCTTTCCTCTGATACTCAACTTAAATTTTCCCGGAAGCTAACAGTCAAGAAATAGGCTTCACCTTCTCATTCCCAGCCAGGTTTCTCTTGGCAAGTACAAGTTTGAGCCACTTAAAATATCTACTTTTTCGGAGCTTCCTGCTCAATCCTCCCAGGAAAACCTCACTGGTGAAAATACTTTGTAGCTGTCCTCAGGCTCTTTCCCATCAGGCTGCCATTTTAATGCTCTCCTACCTGAGAGGAGTCTCATTCCTCACTAAGGGACTTCTCCCCAAGCAAATATTCTGTACATAGGACTGTGTTGTAAGGGAAACACCATTATTATCTCACCTTTGCACGTATGCTCTTGCCTTTGACAACCAAAATGGCAGACCCGCTCTTTGTGATGTGGGAGGATGGACTTTGTTTTTGAAAAGAAAACTTCTGATGGAACATTTTTGAGCCGCACATTCAACACTCATTGATGAGACATAATTTTACAAGTTTTACAATACTTTTATTTAATTTGGTTGTGATTTTCTGGTTTATGCATTCAGTCAAAAAACATATCCCTACCCCAATTGTGAGCTTACAAGTTAAATTTTGACAGTTCATTAAATACAATTCAGTGTCATTCTAAGGTATGAAACCCAGTCTTATGTATACCGGGGTTCGGGACAATCTCACTGAACTGAGGTTGCAATCTTGAGGACACTTAATTGGGGAGTAGGACCAGCTGAGTTGAAGGAAACTTACTTTACATGGAGCTTACTGTCACCTAAGCAAGTATGCATAAGTCCTATAATTCTAAATGTGTTTATATGGTCTCAAGTCGGGATTAAGCTAAACAATATTAGTTTAAATACAGCAGTAAAAGTGCACAGAGCCCAATCCTGGTCAAGATCAGCTTCCTCAACCTACTTGCTTTACAAAATTCATGCTTCACATGTCAATTCCTCATGGTAATATTCTTCCTTGCATCTCCACTTCAACCTATAATATTTTAAAGATTAAAATTATGGTGTTTACTTAAATACTTCTATATATCATGTGGAACAGAATAAGATTCTTGTAAACACATCTGTAACGTCAGTTAACAATATCCAATACATTTGTGTCTCTTACCACGAGAGTTATTTGTATCACATTACAAGCTGAATGAAAATTACAGACCAACTGGATAACAGCATTCAGTTTAAAAACAGTCCTCTTCAGTTCTGTATTAGGTAGTAACATTTGCAAATAATTTTCCAACTAAAAAATATTCTTGGTATCATTTCTGCTCCATTCTTGTTAACTAACAGTTGCTTATAAATTCTTAAGCAGATGTCTTTCCTGTGATGCTACAGCTTGAAATCCTTTGGCTGAGTCAATCAGGAATCAAATCTAAAATCTTTTAGTGGGTTGAATCCTTGACCTATGCTGTACTCTAAAAATACAGAGGTAGTATTTGACGGTGCCTTTGCCATCATCATCATCATCATCATCATCATCATTTTCCAGTTAATGCACGGGGTTCACAAGAAGTGTACTTAAAATCCATTCTCTCTACTCAAGATATTTACAAGATTCAGGAAGTAGTGGCACTACAAATTGAACCATCTGACCTTTCTGTTTGCAGAACAGTAAACTCAAAATAGATCACCTAGGACTTCAAAAAAGGAAGTGGCGTTTACTTGTAACACTGGTTTTGTGAGGTTGAGATTCATTAAGAGTAACTAGAGAAAAATGTTCTCTTGCCAAACTTGTTTCTGGACATAATTCTGTTTAGCCATACTTTGTCAAAAGTTACTTAAGATTATGGCACCTGCATATCACAATGAAATAATTATTTACTTTTAGAAACTTATTTTTTAAAAAATATCCATTGCACTAAGATTGTAGCAAAACTTACTGATACATTTATCTCAAATAATATAACAACCTGCTCAGATTCTTAATATTTCCCAATTCACAATACAAGTAGTCCTAGCTTAATGTCCATTTGTTCAGCAACCATTTAAAATTATAATAGCACTGAAAAAATGGATTTGCGACTGGTCCTCGAACTTACAACTGTTGCAGTGCCCCCACAGTCATGTGATAAAAATTTGAGTCTGCTCACAATTCATGACCACCATCACCCTGCCGACCTTCATAGTCTTCTCCTGTCTCCCCTCCACTGGGCTCACCACCAGTGGGGAGGCACTGTGGAAACATCCCACAGGCCAATGATGTCATACCAGGGTATGAAGCCCATTCTAGGAGGTGTGGGTCTTGCAAGACTGCTCCTGTGGCAGAGGAGTCATGGACAAGATGGTCATGGGCAAATGATGCGGGAACTTCTCATTTGGTAAGCTGCCAATGGGATGTGGGAGAAGGTGGGATCTTAAGCAGGCCCTTCTTACTGCCCCACAGCTTGGGGGCAGCTTGCCGTGCTGTAGCTCAGGGGCTGCTTAGGGCAAGAAGCCCCCAAGCCACAGCATAGCAAGCAGCCCCAGAACTCTGGCACACCATAGTAATGGGGATTCTTGGTGCACCACGGCAACAGGGCTGCTTGCCACACCACGGGGCTTGAGGCAGCACTCCTCAGTGGTGGCAAGCCTAGCAGAGGGAAAAACACCACGATTGCACCAAGGACAGGGAGGAAGGTCCACTGGGGGCGGGGGGGGGCAACGGAACACAGCCTCTTCATGCTATGCAGGGTGGCCAAAAGGGCTGAGATGGGGGAGAGATGGGTGGGGGGAATTGAACGGGAGGTAGTCCCTTGTCTTGGAAGAACTGAGGCTCGGGGCTGGGAGGGATCAAGCTAGGAACGGCTTGGATCGAGTTGGGTCTTCGCCTAACGGCCCACAGGGTTTAATGACAACAGGGACTGCCAGAAATGCCATCATTAAGTGGGGCGGTCACATGATGTTTCTCTTAACGACTGCTTCGCTTAGTGATAGAGTTGCCGGTCTCAATTAGGGTTGTTAAGTAAGGACTACCTATACAATGAAATGGAAATAGAGAGGACACAACAAAGAAACAGTAATATATAAAGACAACTTATATTGAGCTGAATCCTATTAGATAAATGCTGAATTAGTACCACAAGGGAATAGATTCAAATTCTGCTTCTATGGTTTAGACCCCTAATGTCTGAAAGAGTATTTTACTATATCAAGGGCCACATTTCCAAAGAACAGTAACTAAGGCCAGCACAAAAACTCCATTTGATTTCATGGTATTAAATTGTAATTAAATTTATTTAAATGATTGTTTTCTAGTCAAGTATTTAATATAGAAACATTACAGTTTGGTAGCATTTGAATAGTGGAAAACAGTGATGGAGGCCTTTAGGTTCTCCATCTCTGTTTTGCACTATTATTGGCTGCACTACCAATCCAAGCAAGTAGTAATAAAAACAACTTTTAAGTTGTTTTTTGAGGATGCCAATTATATCCATTAAGATTCAGACGTCATGTTTCCCAGGAAAGGAAAAGAGAATGCTACAGATTGGGATTCCAAATATGTAGATGAGACAAGAAATCAGTCATTTCAACTCAGACATAATTTATCTATACTAGCAGTAAGTAACTTTTTTTTTTTTTTTTGGCTGTAAGGTACATTTGAATTTTGCTAGCACCTTTAGCCACCCAGAATGTTCTTTGCTATGGCAGCTGACAGTTATGTAAAACATCTATCACTCTATGAACAAAATGATCAGAAAACTCTGGGACATTGTTTTCTTGTGGATCATGCTGATCTGGGAGCCACCAGTCCACCCCCAGGATAACAGATCAAGTTCTGGAGGAGGAACACACTAGAATTATTCCAAAGTGAACGTCCAAAAAACCCACCAATCAGCATGATCTGGAAGAGTAATGGAACATTTTGCTCCCAAGATGGTACATTTGCACTTTCCTATTTAACTTTTTATTCCAAGCACTGCATTGCAACCCTTCATTATTTTTGTTTTCCTGTTGGTCTTACATAGATCCAGAAGAATAGCTGTAAATAAAAATTATCCCAGATTTCCATTTAATTTTTAATTAAAATAATATATTTTAAAATAGTGTCAGGTGAGCACAAGCTTGATGAGTACCATTCTGTTGTCTCCTCCTAATCTAAGCAGCATAGATCTGGGGTATGTTACAGCAGAGAAAGAAGTTATATCATTCAGGAAAGAAGGCACTACTCAAATTACAATTTTTGATACTGGAATCCTAGAATCAGAACATTTTTTTTATTTTTATTTTTTTATTTATTGGATTTCTCCCCCACCCATCTCCCCCACAATAGGGACTCTAGGCGGATATTAGAGCTGGAAGGGAGCGTAGAGGTAATAATTATCCAATTTTCTATTAACAAAAGTAATATCACAGTGGCAGCATTCCTGGCAGATGATTCTCCAAGCTCTGCTTGAATATCACTTGCACAAAGCCCATTGCTCCCAAGACATTTCCATTTCACTGCTCTTCACTTTTTAACTTTAAAAAAATGCAATGTTCTGGTAATGTTCTACGCAATTCTGTTTCCTTTTCATATCCTGGTTCTATTCATGCCCTCTGAAACAATAAAAGACAAGAATTTGCCTTTTTTTTTTACCATTGCTATTGTCTGTATATTTTAAGATAAATATTCTCTCTTAATTATGTATTCCTAGGCAAAATATAAACATCTGCTTAAGAATTTTTAATTGGTTTCCAGAATTTTTATTATTTATAAGGACTTGGTTTTCAAAATCATGATTATGGTATGATGATTAATTTAGGTAAATGTGATTGTTACATACCATTTTGGAAAGGCTTGGGTTTCAAAGAGGATTAAGAAACATCTCATGGAGATACTAAATCAACTTTATGAGATGAAAGGACTTAGATGATTTTGTTCTGAGGTAAGTAATATTCAGAGCAGAGATGGCTTCTGAGATATTCAAGGTAGCTGGACTGCGCTTCATAGTAGGACCCAGGAAATTGGGGGTTATCTAATAGCAAGACTTTGCATCCACTTTTGATACACAATGTGCCTACATTGTTTGGAAATGCTATGACTAAAGGTTATTAGTACACTCTTATCAAACATTTGCATTTGACTCCCAGGAGAAATGCAACATTGTGTGAAGGGTGATATTTATCTTGCCATAATGTTCAAGCCCTTTTCTTTGACTCTCTTCTTAAGATCAAGTATGGTGTCATTTAGTGCTGTCACAGAAGATGCAGCTTACAAAACAGATGGTACTTGATGTATTATTCAGGCAGCCAGTTTCCACCTATGTAGGATTGGCATCAGTGTAGCAGGCAGGGAGACAACCCATGCTATTCAAGCAATTGGCAGAAAAAGCACACAACAAAAGATGATTTATTTTTATGAGCCATAGTGCAAGCAGTGAAGGCAGAGCTCTCAGCATAAAAAAGCAAAATAAGGTTTTGTTCCAAAATATATTACGTAGGTATTGGTTTAAAAAGAGATATCAGTCTGAATGCAGCTCTAATTTAAACGTCCAATATCTGGAGTGGTTAGATCTTCTGAGAACATAGTGTCATTTAAATTTGGTGATGGTGTTATATAACCAACAAAACTGGTACATTTCTGTACCAATTCTTTTTAATTCTGTTTCACTGTTAAATACCAGCTCACTTTACACATATAAGCAGTTTTAGCACCTTAAAGATGTTATCAGAAACCAAAATATTTAATAGTGTAGTGATGTTGAAATATCTAATACAATAATATTTATTTGTCAAATACTTGCTTGTGAGGCTGAACTTCTCTTTCCTTCTCAAAAAGAGAGAGCTACAAAATTCTATATTCTCCTACAGACCAATGGATTGCTTTCTCCAGCTCTTTAGGTTTCATTGAAATAGATAAATGTAATAATTTTAAAACAAGCATTTATTTAGAAAAGTCCTTAACTTTGTTTGGTTTGGACCAGTTATTCCTACTTTCCAGCCTTGGAAAGCTAGACATGAAATTATCCAGCAGTTCTATTTCAACACCAATAACTAGGTTTGGATACTGAGTTTGGAAGTAAGGAAAGTTTGTGCCTGAGCTAAATAAGTGGACAAGTTTGAATAGGTATATATAACTCATTTTTCATATACATTGTCATTCCTTCTAAATGTCTTATGTTTTAACATAATTTGAAAATATCTTTTGAAAACAGCTCTAACAAGATTTTCTTCATTTTGACTATTCCACAGATGACAGAGAAAGTAACACAAATAGGAAGTATCTGAGAAAGGTAAGTTTCTCCATTTTGGCCACATAAAAAAAATCTTAGTCAAACTCTGAAGTATTCATTAGGCAATTGCTGAAAGATTTGACAGAGCGCTCACTCAGATAACAACTTCACAGTTGCATGGCAGGTCATGAAATATTTTAACAGTTTTATTAACTTTTTTAATGGATTCCAAATCAGGTATAAAGCGGCAACCATATAAATGAAGCATTCTCAATCTGTTGGAATGAAAATAGAACATCAGTAAAATAATAGATTTGCAATTGCCACATTATCGGACAATCACATTTAGAGCCCGGAAACTCAGTTGCTTTTTTATAATAATACAGGTGTTTCTTTACTGTAAAATATATTGCAGAGGGTATGAGTACTGCAACATACATAATTCATACTGCTAGATTTCCTCTATATAGGTAGATATTCTTATAGTGTTTATTTAAAAGATTTCAAATGTGAAGCACTACAAATGGGAGACACTGGACATGTTTCTACAATTAAACCGAACCTACAGTTTTAATTTTGCCCTTATTCCTAGCAAACAGCAACATGACATAAACAATGAAGAGTCAAGTTAGCATTACAATGTCTCTAAAGAATGTATTAAACAAGGAAGTTTTAAGTGGAGTCATTCATTTGAAAAGAGACTAAAGGTTATTTGACTAAAACTACAAAATAAACAATAGAAGACACTGGAAGCAAAGTGCTCACCCCATACTTGATGCATATACACTAATCACATCTGAGCATACACCGATTCTTAATGCAAGTGTGTAAACACAGATAATTGTTTTGGGTCTTGTCTTGCGAAAATTAAGCTCTGTAGCTTAAACAAGGCTTAAAATTAATAATGTCTTCAATCAAATCATTTGCAAAAAAATCCCAATAACTCAAATCTACCTTTACAAATATCCTAAAGTTACAAGAGTTGAGCAGTCCAATTTTTATGCTTAGCCAGTACATTATACAGATCACAAACTCCTTCCTACCCTTAATTACAGGTTTTATCAATCTGGCTACCTTCCTGATATATAGACCAGTTCCTAGAATTATCAGCAATGGGGAATGAAACTTCTCAACGTGTGAAGAACATCCCTGGCATTATTTCTGTTGCCTTTTTCCTTTATTAGCATAAATATTTGCTTTATTCCCTACTGTATTTCTCACATCAACAAGCTTATGTTATTAAAGAGTACTGGTTGTTTCCATCCATCTATTTCAACAATATTTTATAAATGAATCAATTACAGTTAGATTTCTCATCAGTTCTCAAGTCCTGATATGCAGCAATAAAATTACCATCTTAGACTTAATAACAAAAGAATCATAACCACACCCTCTGTATATTAATTCATCATAACTTCAGCTATAAAAATATGGGGCTCTAGTTAGGGTTTATTTTATTTTAATCCATTCAATCATGTCT